GGAGTGCATCAAATTCTTTGTTTATTTTTTGAAGCACACCAAACCTATATCCTTTTCATTCGGGTCAGTATGACTGGTCGTTTTGCAGTAGCAATGTAAGGTCTCCTGGCATATAAAAATTTCATTTGTCAACTCTTGTCAATATTTTCAATGTGGTTTAGTTTATTTTTGTTCATCATAAAGTTCCAGAGCTATTTTGGTATCGGAAGAAAATTTATAAAATTTCCTCTGTGAATAATGTCTGGACAAATCAAATAAATAGTTGACTTGTAAGTCCAAAGACATTAGAAGGTGGTGTATCTCACAGTTGTATGTGATAAATACATACTGTCTTTTTATGCAGGTTTTTACTTCAAGGCTATTCATTTGTTGTAGTACGGCATTGGAGATAATGAGAAATATCAACAGCAATAAAGAGAGTTTCTCCTGAGAGGTTTCACCCTTGTTTATACACATCCTGACTAATCTGGTTTGGTACAGCGAAATAAGCAAGACTCAAGTGATAGTCTGCCAGTTCATGGAGCAGCTGCTGCTTAGGTGTTCAGATCATTAATGAGGTGCTTGACTGAAATTTGAAGTTTGGATGTTGAATTGCTATACTGAGTTGGCTGATACCATCCTCCTTCCAACACACAGGATTTGGTCTTCTTTCCTTATTGCCTGCCCTACTGTATTATTGCATGATTTATGGAGTAAAAAGTTAGTCATCTGCTCTAGAATCACTTTCAGCTGTAACTTCCAGTCACTTGTTGGTTTCCCACTATGATAGTAGGAAGGGAAAACTTTACAAAGTTTCCCTTATTTCTGGAACAACACTCAGAGTATTCTAACTACCAGATCCTTGTCTCTACAGCTACATCTGCACGTGTATTTGAGTTTCTGGTACACTATAAACCTAGGGGATTAAAAAAGTTGTTTGTTTCTGTAGTTCTCTCAGTACTGGACTGTAACATACATCAGAATTCTGGAGATTATAGCGGTAACTAAGTGGATGTTGCATGACCTTGTGTCTGCATTCCAATGACACAAGTGTCCTCCAAGATAAATTAAGCTAACATTCAAAGTCTGATGTAGGTACTGCAGACAATATGCCGATACTGTTCTTTGTATCGCTGGAATAATGTAGATTGAAGGCAACTGATGAGAGATTGCACAAACTATATGTAAAGAGCTGTCATTTAATTGTCTAACTTTCTCAAATTCCAGTAATCTTGAAATGTATATCTTAATTTTAATATTTTCTTATGAAAATATTTTTAGAGAGATTTCCCCTGCTCCCTTCTACATGTTTAAGAAGGGATTTTCTAGAAGTACAATAACTGTCTAACCCATTTACTCTCTGACTACCTTTTTCTAAAGAGATAAGCGATATGTGGAATACTATCAAAACATGAAAAATATTTTTTTTATTACATAATTTCCATATGTAATAGTGATTTTGGGTGCTACTTTTGACTCCAGAAGCATAATTTTCCAGTTGATATGGTCTTGGCTCTGTTATTTCAATAAATATGTAAGAAAATGTATCTGCAAATCCCTGTGTGTTAAGAGGGAAAGACTTCTACTTCAAAAGGAATGGAACAAGTCCGTTAGAAATGATCTTCGTGTTCCTAGCTTAAATGTGTACGTAAGTTCTTGCACATACATTTGGCTAGAGTTTGTGCTATGTGTCTCGACTGATTATGTGTGAGAAGCCAAAGATAGCACACTGCTGCAGCCTGTGTGCAAAGCGGCACCTGCATCTAAGTCATAAGTCTGGCGAAAAAGTTTTGCAAAATTGCTTTCAGAGATTTGGCCTCTCAACTGGTCAGATTACTGTTCAGAGCTCTAGGACTCACTGGAAACGTTTTATTTCTTAAAGAGGCCATTTATTAAGAACATCTACATGGGTGGATTTGGATGATTGGAACATCAGGACCCTTTGGCCTTTCACACCAAAAATTTCTTTCCCTTTGGGGCTCAGTTTTTCCTTCACATGCGTTCATACTGTAGTTACAGTGTTGAGATTTCCCTTAACTGCAATTTAACTGGGAGAGAGAACTTTCTCCTTTCAGTCAAATGATATGAAGATCTAAGTTATGAGGGTGTGATTCTGGTCAGAACAATAACCTTTTGCTTTGAATGTGTAACCAAGTATATACTTGTTGAAAACAAGTCATTAACTTCGTTTTCTGTAAGAGCCATTGGGAACTTGTCCAGCTTCCTGGGAAGGACTGGTAGGGTTTTGATTTTTTTGTTAACTGGGAGATGTTTCCCATCTTCCTTACCACATCCAGCTAGCCTGTTCTGGCCTGCTTTAGAAACTTGGGCCAGACTTGAAAAGACATCAGCTAGAGGCATTTTTAAGCTGTGCATACCTCATCAGGTCTTGGTATAATTGCTGAGGTGAATCACCTTTATCCATTCCTAGTGTATGAATGGATTTCTTTCCTTTTCAATTCCAATGAAAGCAATGGATATCAAGCATTATAATTTGGTCCTAGTAAATCAAATGGACAACAGGAGGGCCAAATTCCTATTCTGGGTTAAAAAAAAAAAAAAAAAAGGTTTTGGCTACTGCAATTTAATCATCCTCCTGATTATCTTATTTTTCACATAGATACTTTCTTGAATTATTGAGTGTTTTAGGAACAACACTGATGTTAAAAAATGTAGATTTGATTGATATCAGTAGAGGTGGAGCACAGTTTCTGGAATTCAAACATGTATTGGAAATAGAGAATCAGTATTTTAAAGTAATACATAGAATCAGACTTCTCCCCAAACTAACAGATGCTGGACATATTACAGAAATATGTTCAGTCTTTGACAAAATTACTCTCAAGGTAAATGGGAACTTTGTACTGCTCTGCAGTGATATCAGTTGCTATATGAGGCTCTGAATTGGCGTAGAGCTGCTTGTTGAGGGCAAACAAAATAGAAGGAATCATTTAAGGTGTTCTCAGGCAAGGAAGTTGCTTGCTGTACCCTGACTCTAAAATGAAATTCTGCTGCAGCACATAATCTTATTTTTGGCCTTGTAGAAGATTGTATTCTTATTCTTTGGCCAAAATTTAACTCATATACATTTTTCTCACTGAAGTGATTTGTAATCCTTCCATAAAGGAGAAGATTGTCCGAATGTGGCATTTCTATTATTTAAGTGATTGGAAAAAGCAGGAAATACAATCTTTACTTCCATTGTGTATTTACCTACAGTAGACTTAAAATGCAAACCATTCTGTGAGCCTGTTTATAACGCATGAAGTTACTTTTGTTTTGCTTAACCAAATGGCCGAAACACTGCCAGCAGTATGTCTGGAATGTTATTTACTTGGTCCATTTCTGTGGTTTTTCTTTGTAGCACTGTACACATGCCAGAGTTAGGGGTCATTTACTTAAAACTGACCAAAGTAATCCCCCCCCAAAGCTGCAGTTATTCTTCTCATCAGGAGTTTTATAATAAAAGGTTCATCATGTTCTTCAGCTTCTGTGCTTGCACTTCTCCCCCCTTTCTCCCTCCCTCAGTTCTCTTAATCAGAATTGCTTTTGGTGAAGATTTGGAGAGCTGCTGTTTTTTCTTGCTTTGTTCTCTGTGACTTGATTTCTCTATTAGTGCTTTGATTTCTCACACTATTTCTTACAATGCCAGCTGATTGAAAAGTATTAACTTGCTTTGCTGGATGACTATTATTATTTTATAAGGAGATGGTTATTGAGTATGTTTTTCTATTTAAGAGAGTATAATATTTTATGGTCTCAGTCCCAGACATTCAACTGGTTGCAAGAAAACTGTGGGTGTTTTAACATTTCCAACGGAAGAGTAGGCCGGGTGGAGAAGCTCTTTGGAACGCTGACGAATAATATTTAACTCTTGGAAACGTCTTAAGGCCATGTGCTCCCCTCCCATGCTCAGAAGGCTAGACTTAGTTTTAAAGACCTGTGGTCTTGAAGGTATTACTGTTATGCTTTATTTCCTTTCTAACTGCCTGGAGTTGAGAAAACAGTTGAAATGCAGATTATGGATGCCAGGGGTTAGCGCAGGAATACTCTACAGATGGTGGTCTTGGTTTGTGCCCTTGCTACTCCCATCTGTGGCACGGTGCCCCGTTAATCCCTTGAATGTTAGTCAGAGGGCTTAATTCTGCTACTTTTCTTTCCTAGATGTACTTAATTTCAAAAACTATGTAACTCTAGAGATGTTAACATCTGTAATGTCTATAAGCATAGCAGAAATTGCCTTTCAGCAGAACATGAGTTGGGAACTGCAGCAACTTGCAATTCAGTGTAGCAGAGCAATAATTCGTAACAGCTTTTTCCCCCAATTTGTTCTTATAGTACTTGAGTGCAAAGCAGAGTAGATACAGATTGGGTTGTTCTCCCCGTTGTGAAAAGCAGATATTTAGTGAATATCAAGTCTCCTTCTCACTTCTGTGCTCGTGGTAAAGGATGTTCTTCTTCCTCTGCATTTGCAGAAATGATCAACTCTTATCATCAGATGGTATCTTTTTAGCTTGTTTTAAGTTTTAACAAGCACATGTGCTTTACTATACATGGCTCTTGTTGCTTTTGGATAGTGATTTGTTTTCTTTATATATGTGTCTGCTTTATTTATTTCCAGCTTTGATCATTTAACTGATAAATACTTGCTGCCTATATTCACACCTGCTCATCTTTTATTATCCTGGCTTATATATAAATGCTTCTATTGAAATAAATCAGTCTTGTAATTTGAAAAATATAAAACTTTGGTTTAAGTTACTTCTTACAGGTAATAGCTGCTTGACGGTTGAATACAGAACAACTGCTTGGCAGAATTTTAGTTTGATTCTCTGCCAAGCAACAGTAAAGTACAACCTAATTCCTAAAAATGCCTGAGCTATAAACTATCAGTCATGACCTAGCATGCATATAGTAAAAGCAGGCTGACAAGGCTAATAAAGCCTATACATTATTATGGCCATGCAATGCATGTTATAACAGGTCAATAATGTATTCTGTCACTCATTCCTATTGTGCAGCCCACACATCATCTTCCTGTCACAGAGTGTATTACCAGGAGGGAGCCACCTCTGTGGAACGCGTCTATGCCACGAAATTGCTCATGCTTGGTTTGGACTGGCCATTGGTGCTCGTGATTGGACTGAAGAGTGGCTAAGTGAAGGGTTTGCCACTTTTTTAGAAGATATATTTTGGGCTAGGGCACAACAGGTAAGGTGATGATACATGACTTCTCAATTGAATTATGTGGAAATCAAAATTATACACCCTGCTGTGAATTAGATATAAATTAAACCTCCTGTGTTTTGAAGATAAATCTTTTAAAATAATATTGGAATTTGCATGATAACTTGATTTAAAAAAAAAAAAAATCCTTCCTGATCCACAGTGAACACTAATTTTTACAGAGGTAAGAGGTCAGTGCAAATGAGAATAGAAACACGTATTTGTCAATGATTACCTTCCCACAAATGTGCTACTCAATTATTACAGTTCAGCTATCAAACAGTTGCTCTGCTTCTTTCCACTTGTATTGTGTTCCTAAAACTGGAATAATCAGCAGAGTCCTACTGAATATTGTAATATTCCAGGTGCCTAATGAAAGCGGTCTGTTTTTGTCCAGTGGACAGCCAAAAAGCATACCTCAAAACAAAATGGAAGCTGATGAAACAGAGCACCAGCACTTACACTTTTTTTCTCTTATACTGCCCAGCAAGAGTTACCCTCATGTCAGAGGCTTAGAAATCATAGTCTGCCTTACGGTGAAAAGCTAGTAGTAAACCACTAGTAAAGTGGTTTTCTGATCCAATTCTTATTTTTGTTGTACCTCTGCTACTTCAAGCATTTAATGTGTTAGTCATTTCTTCCTGTGCTTGTGTCAGGCCCTGATTCTACCCCTTAGGTCTGCAGTGCTCCATCTGTGGAAGAGCAGGTGGGACTGGGAACTGACGTTGTACACTCTTCTAAGCCTCCATTTTATTACGTATCAGGCATATTTATAGCACTGAACAAAACAGAATTCCTTGTCGCTTACCATGTTTCTGGAACAAGAAAGAGAGGAAGGCTGTCCAAACACTTTGTTGTTCACTTCCAGTCCTAAAACTCATTTCTGCCCTTGCATTGAGCATCACTCCTCTGCTGTGAGCTGTTCACATTAATTGTTTGGGTTTTTTTTTTCCCTTTTTAGAATTTATGAGTAGTTTGGTGCTGTGCAGTCATAGAATTGTAGGATTATAAGTATATTCCATAATGCCTGACAATAATTTCATGTGACTGAAATATTGGTGTAATGCAGGATAGTATCAGCTGCTTTTGCTTTCTCCCATCTCGCATCTTTTCTTGTAATAGAGAAGCATAAATTAATTGTTATTTGTAAGCTGACAACCCGACATTTATTTGATAAGCATGCATCTCTGTTAATATTAGGTAAATGGAAAATACAACAGGGAGCTTTCATGAGTATGCCAGAAGTAGTAGGAAAGAGGAATGAAGTCAGGACACAAAGCAGCTCTTTGCTTTCAAGGCAGGGAAAAGTAATGATGCAACCAAAACCAATATGCCAGGTATCTGTACTGTACATTCAGTTCACTTATTGCCAGTCACTAAAGTGAAAACAACATGCCCATCTCTCTCCTCAGGCAGAAGTATTTAACTGACTATTGATTTGATGCACAGAGTGAGGCTTCTGTTTTTCTTAGTGCTGCTATTAACTCTTATAGCAGCAACTGTTATTTTTTGTTTTGTTTTATCATGGATATTGGTACTGTTTCCTGCATCTTCTGCACATTGAAGGGAAACAAAACAAGTTTCTCTTTCTGAAAATTGTTATTGTCTGTTGGGAAACAGCAACCAATTTGTGTTTTTTGTCCCTAAGCAGCTGTCACATGATGAAGTAAAAGGGCAGACTCTGAAGAAGAGCTGCAAGTTTTAAGGTAACAATATGACAGTGTAATCTTTGCTTTTGCATGTTCTCTCTGTCCTGTTCTCCACATTTTCTCCCTTCAGAGGATATGCATCCAAATCATGTGATTAAATCCACTGCATTTCCTTATTTCCTTCTGAAGAAAAAAGAAAAGTCAAATTAAATTGGCTAGGTTATTCATCTTCTGTATAATGCAATTGTTTTTCTCTTTGTTATAGAAAGCTTTCAAAAACCATGGGATTTAGTTTGATATAAAATGTCTCTAAGCAGTTTACAAGAGCCTCTATTCAGGGAAAAAAAAGGCCATTTCCTGAACAAAGTTCACTGTTTGAAGCCACTAACAGATTCACTTTCTGTGGCTGAAGACAAGCACATACAGGAGTATGGTATCTAACTGCCAAGATGGATGAAGGTTTAAAAAATAAAGGAAAAAGCATAATGAACTATATAAATCTACTTTTTCTTTAGAAACTACTACTAATGCTATTTAAACAAGATTTTGGTCTTTAGGTACCAGATGCTGAGCTCAAGGCTTCTTCTTATACAGCTAAAGACATTACACCAAAAAAAGATTCTTGCTTTGCTAATGATTAATAATCTGGGTTGTTCTGATTAGTGTCTTGGGAATTTGCCATAGTCTTTTATCTTGAGTGGCTGGCTAACATCTCTACTGCTTGCCTCCCCACAGTCTTTAACCAAGAGAAACAAGTTTACTAATCCTAACTCAAATTAGCCCTAGACTGACCAAATCACAGAAGTACAGGGACAGATTTCAAGAGATTATGTAGACCATTCTCCTGCCCTGAAATACAGGCAGTATACACAGACCATCTTAAGCAGGTTTTTGCTAACATATTCTTAGAAACCTCCAATAAAAAATCTTCCACAGTACCTAGCTAAGCTGTTTTAGTGTTAACAGTTAAACAATATTTCAACTGTGCATTAGGAAGCAATTTTTATTTCAAACAATGTAGATCTCTTTTTTTCTTTCACCAAGTGGAAGCGAAGAACAAATTGATCCCCATCTTCTATATAATCAACTTTTAAATGTTTTCGGCAGACTGTTGCCATTTTCATTTTGAGGTCTTCCCTTCTTTTTGTGCTTTCCCAGTAGGACCTAAAAGCCTTTTATATTTGGGCACCGTTCACCAGCATAGAATTTACCTCTATGGACTCATGTCATCTGAAAATGTGTCACCAACTTCGCACAACCGTAGGCTTTCATTGATCTGTTTTACTTCATGTTTATTGATGAACTGTGTATCCTACTTGTAAGCAGTCAGTGAAGTTATACATTTGCAAGTGTGCAATTTGATGATAGGTGTAAAAACAAAAGCAAGCCTTATCAGTAGCTGTCATACAGCTGCTACCGACACAACTACTGATTGACAGACGCTGAGGGTTTTGTTTGTTTGTTTGAAAATAAATTATTTATAGGAACATAGGTTCTTGTGATATGAGGCTTATCTGTACATACAGTTCCATTTTCAACATTATAGAATCACATTTCTCATCTTTTACGTTAATTATGTAGTTGTTACCTTTAATAAAATATGTGTATGTGATGTAAATTTGTAAAGTAATTTTTCTAAGGGCCAAAATATCCTTTGTAGTTTGAAACTAGGAAGGATTGATTTCTCTTGAAATTGAAACTTAAGCCTTCTATTGACTTCCACAGTTAGTAGACATAATTCTCTGTAATAAGGATGCTGCTTACTTTTTGCATAGTGGTATTCTCAATGCTAATACAAAAGAATGACAAATAATTTCTTGTTTGAAAAATATGCCTCTAACATACACTTCAGGAGAGAAACACAATGCCATCTTGGGATTCTGGCCGTCTGATATCTCTGGTTTCCTGGGGTTGCATTTAAGGACTTTTCACTGGTTTCATTCAGATATAAATATTCTCTACTATTTTTGTGTCACGGACTTGAGTAGGTTCTCTCTTTGCACGTTTACTGTTTTTCTTTCTTTTCTTCTTCCTTCTGAAAGTATGTCCATGTGCTTTTCCAGAGTTGGTAAGAGAGAAAATTTCAGTCTTGGCATTGCACTGCGTTTTGAGTCTGTACTGAGGCTTGTTCTGGTTTAGGCTTGTGTTTTTATATAAGGATATTAAAATTAAATGATAACTGTTTGTTACTTCTTGCCAGTTATGTCAGGAAGAAAAAAATCAGCCAACCCACTGTTCCCAAAGCATAAGCTTATTCTTCAATGACTTTTTTGTTCCCTGCTGGATGATCATATGATTTTCTGTGCTTTCTCCTGACAGCAGGAAAACCCTGCCCAAAACTTGTCAGCTGATCCGATTATCTTTTGATCCAGCAAATGAATACCTGTTCAGACTAGGTGAAAGCCACTCAGCAAACTGATCATCAGCATGATGTTTCTTCTTATTATGGATATTTGATATTATGTTGTAGTAGCATCTCATAAGCTACCTGTGAAAAAAGAAGTCAGGTATGAAAGAAATAGGTAAGTGTCTTTTCAGCAGGCAGCAGCTCTGAAAGGCAGCACCAGCAAATCTTAGAATTGAAGAAGGAATTTGTGGCACTGTAGTGCTCATACAAGATAAGACTTCAGGCAGAACCCTGTGTATTTTCTCACAGAGTTTGAGGCAAACCTGCAGGGATAAAAGCACCCGTGAAATATGTCCTGGCACTCAGTCTGCTGGCACACATCAACACCAGTGCTCTCATCCTGTCTGTCATGTTATGAAAGCAAAGAAGACTAGAGAAGTCCATTTTGTTCTCTGGAATAAAGCTGGTGTTGAGACTGTTTCATGTCCTGGCCCTTATGACTGAACTTCAGCTTGTGATTCTTCATTAAGACAAACCAGTGTTGATATCTAATTCAAAATTTGTCTCTGAGTTCCACTTGAGTCAAGTCCATTTCCCTCCTGAAGCAATGATTTCTGACTGCTCTGTAGGTGTTCAAAGAGTTTTATTCTGTCACACTGGTAGGAAACGTGCCTTTCAGATGGTCTCTTGTGGTCTCTGCATACGTTTTCATGACTACCTACTGCATCAGAGCATTTAATTACCAAGGACTTCCTGGTGAATTGTACTTTCACTTCGTACAATGTAGTTCGCCCAGCAAACAAAAAGCATCTTTTGCTTCCTTCAGAAATTTGCCAGTATCTAAAATGTGCTAGGTAGCAGCTTGAATACCTTGAATCAGCTTGCCTTTAGCATTATGCCTAGCTTCATCAACTAGGTTAGATGCCATCTTTTGTAGGTCAGTGTAAACAAATTTTCGGTGTAACAAATTTTCAGTCTCTATACCTTCAATGTGTTGTAAGTATACTAAGTTTAAAATAGGTTAAAATAGCACACTTAAAATAGTGTGCTGAAGTACTGACAGCAGAGAACAGGGTAACTTTCTGAATATTTACACTCTTTTTCAGACATTATCTGATGTATAGATACATCCTTTGCAAAAGAAAATTCTTCAGTACCGTCATCCAGATGGGATACTGCTTTCTGGTCACCTACTAGGATCTGTGCAGGCATAAAGTTGGAGGAGGAAGGAAGGAAGTATGGTTGCCTAATTTAGAATAATTGTGATTATGGGAGGTATTTCAGTTTAGTGTGGATCCTGTAGCCTGGGCTCAAACTCCATTTTTCAAAGTCTATAGACTGGGCTATTTATTATGAGAGAAATGATGCAGTTTGGGCTTTTTATATATGCAGAGAACAATGAAAAGTTGTATATGGAATTCCAGCAGGCCTTCCTTCCAGGAGACTGATCCAGAATGGAAATAGGTGGGCCTCTGCTCTTCTCCAGTGGGTCTGCAATGGTTACGTTGTCTTGAAGAACTGGAGTTAACCATAGGATAAGAAATCAGTTACTGATCTCCTCCTTTCAATGTTGCAGGAAGATCTTCCTTGAAAGAAAGTATGAAATACAGCATGGTAAAGGACTGTGTTAGCAACAGAGTAAAATTGAATCTGCATTTTGTTTTTCTATTTTATTTCAAACAGTTACATTTTATCAAGATTTTGCTGTGTGAAGTGAATTTCATGGGCACAGGTCCTAAATATAGTGCTTAAAGGGTGGAAAAAACCAGTTTAGCATTCTGGACAAAACTCTAATAAGAAACGATTACACAGATACAAAAAAGGAAGAATGTTTTCCTCAAAGCAGACATAGATATGAAAGAAATTTGATCACAGGGTTTAGCTTGTGAGAAGTGTGTGAGTGATGTGGTTTGAAGAATCCTGCACTGCTGTGGCCTGTGCTGCCCCTATTCTGTAGAGGTGGGGGGAAAGATGTTTCGTTTCCAAGACTGGCATTTCAAAATCCACATTTAGAATTGGAGAGGTGGTTTCAGTCACAGCGTTAGGCTCCTAAGACAGACATCTGTTCTCAGACCACTGTTTGCTGGGATGTTTTCTGGATGGAAGAAAAAAAGCTAGAGGGCTCTTTAGTACTATGCCTGTGAAGGCACTGCTTACAAATGGAGAAGAAATGTTTGCATAGCTTCTCTTTAGTCTCACTCTGTGCTCATAAAAGCCTAGAAGTCCTCCAAACTTTACTACTGTAGATTTCTGGCATACCAGATGCTGTATTACATTTTAAAATCAGGCAGTGAAGAAGTAGGTTTGTTCTAGACATTATTGTCTGTAAACCCCAAACCTGTGTGTGTGTGAAAGGCTTGCTCTTTTAAAACTTCAGCTACCTTTCTTCCAACCCCAAATGGCACAAATGAAAAACACAACATTCTTTCTTCTGCTGTGTATTGCATGCAGATGAAAGAGGTTATTCTTGAAAGTATAGCCATATAAGCTGTTAAGCAAATGTTCAGGTATAAGAACAGAAATCTCTAGTTGAACATAATGACTTAAATATTCCCTTCCCATCCCGTCCCGTCTTTTTTTTTGTTTTTTTTTGTCTTTGTTCATAACGTGTCTGTGCACTGTAGAAGGGCATCCAACCTAATGTCATACTGGCAGTGAAAAGTGTACACCAACTTAGTGATGGATTTTGTTTGTACCCCAGCTGTCTGGTCAGCTATGTACAAAATTGCATTAAGAGTACAAAATTTTTTTGTTTGTCTGTCTAAGCCAAGTTATTTATTTAGGGAAAAGAAAAAGACTGAACGAGTCACAGGTGTCTAAAGTTACTATGTCTTTCATGCTGCTTTCAACTGTGAGAACGTGTGATGTATTAGTTATTTCTTTACTTACTTATCCAAGACTTAAGTAGTGTGTTACCATTTTAGGCCCAAAAAGGAGAGCACAGGAGAATTTAGTGAGTCTGGAGCATCTATTGTCAAACATGGTCTTAAAGCAGAAAAAATCTTCATGCAGGTTCACTATTTGAAGGTGAGTGTTGCCAGCTGATTTCTATTGAAATTGCTTTACTAATATGATAAAGACTTCTTTCTTCTAGACATCAGTGAATTCATAGCATCCTATTTGTTTCTGGCTTAATTTCTTCCAGGGTTATTTCCTTTTGCGGTCTCTGGCAAGGACAATAGGAGAGGCTTCATACCTTGCATCTTTACGAAAATTTGTCCATAAGTTCCATGGGCAGCTTGTCCTTTCTCAGGTACTGTGCTTGGGGTTCTTCCTCACTTTCTGAAAAAACAGATGACCTAAGCTTTCAGTTTGACTAAATCACTACTTCTGATTGTGGTGAAAATAGAGAGACAATTGTAACTTGGCAATATTGGTGATATTCCTACCTGCTAGAGGGCAGAACATTTTTTTCACAGTGATACATAATCGGACACCCTGCTAGTATCTGATAATGTAAACAATGGGTGATTTTATTTTTTTAAACTTGATACTTTCAGAGGTCAATGTTCATAGGTACTGGTGTTCTCAAAGATTAAGAGTCATTTACCATACTGGAATTGTTTTTTAGCTCATGGGTTTTGGTTGTGATCAGTCCATCTTTTCTCTGATACCTCTCTGTTTCTGATAGAGAAGAAACGCAGAGTAGGAACATAACTGAAAACTTCTATAAATCGTAACAGTGTGTGCATGTTATATTTCTGACTTTATTTCCTTCCTCTCTGCATGCCGCTGCATTCAATGCTTATAATTTCACAGTCTTGCTTAAGAGGACAGTCTCTTCCTCACCAGGTCAGAGAGTGATGTCCCCATCACTCTGACATCAACTCACCTGTACTGCAGTCTTGTCACAGCCTCTGAATAGGTTTCCTCATCATGGTCCATACTCCCATGCTTTCTAAATCATTCTGTAACTGAAGTAATAATCTAAAAGGGATGTTTAAGATGTGCTGCTACTTTCTTTCAGTAGACTTTCTCTGACAGTGAGACCATGCAGTGGCAGCCCACTCTTAAGGGTAGTTGTTCTCATAGAACAGGATTTATTCCTGGATTGGTGAAGGCTTGGTTGTAAAAAATAGTGTTCAATTAGGAATTGGAATCTGCCCTCCCTAACTCCAACTGCACATATTAATCACTTGAACAACAGACAGCTTGTTCGCTTGCTGGCATAAATGGTGTATAATTATTCCACGCAAAGTAGAACAGCTTCAAAAGGAAAGATTGAGCAAGTCACACCACAGTATATTGTACCATCTGTTGCACAGAGAACCCACCTGGAGTTATAAATAGAAATTTACCTCCCCCCAGGTCTTTCTGAATGAGTCCTGTAACCACTGGCTGTAACATTGAAAGGGGAACTGTCTTGTCCTCCAGTGTTTTGTTTTGAGAAGGGAATGACATAATTCTCCGAACTCAAAGTTCTAGGAAATCCTGTCATTGGTGATGAATCCAGCTTGTGCCGTGGCACTGCAGCTTGCTGCTTCTGTAATGCTGTGAAGACAGCATTCATGGGGGTGTCTGTGAACCAGGTCATCACGGTCCGGGAACAAAGGCACAACGTGACAAATAGTTGGCATCACTAGAAAAGCAGTGTGATGAGAGTGAGGGGCAGGGAAGAGCGAAGAGAAGGGAAGGGGTATGAGTGAATTTCTGAAACCAGTTTCTTTGCTGAAGTCTGTCTTTTCTGGAGTTCTGGTTGAAATCTTTGAGGGGATTCAGGATGGTGATAAGTATCTCCTTGCAACACAGAGTAAGGGCCTCTGGTTTTGAGGGAATGTTTCTTCTTCCAGCCACAATGATTCTTTGCTCGTGCACTTGCTGTTTTGAATCTCACTCTTATGGGATGAGATGTATGCCCATGTATCTTACAGATAGCCCACAGACTGTGGATTCTTTTGTATGTCAAGTCACCCAGAAGTTAGGCATAGTAGCTCTACTGCAGCAGCTCTGCCCTATGGAGGAATGTCTGGGGTGTTAAGGGAGTTAATGTTTCCACTGCTGCAGCTGCTTACTGTACCATGTTACTGAGACCCTGAGCAGTTACGTTTGGCATAGTGTGGAAAATGCCAGTGACTATATGAGCCTTGTCTATGTTATGATGTCTGAAATCATAAATATGCTGCTTCACTGTTACACAGCTGGAAACTTTTTGAAAATTACAGAAATCATGAAACTGCTAAAAACACGAAGCAACCCGGTGTTTTAATCTGGTGGTAAGAAAGGTACTCTTATTTTGGTGAGAAAAAGTTAGCTTGTTGCTCGTGGTTGATGTGAGATGAGTTGTGTCAGTAGACTGTTTAAATGCTGCAAAATGTCTTAGCACATTATACTATTAGTCATGATTGCACCGTAATTGAACTACCCATCTACTAGAGACTTCTGCCATTGTCCAGCACTCTGCTATGAAATATCAGTTTGTAGCTTATCTAACTCCAGTCTCATAAGATGAAATACTGTATGCTGTTTCTGCATCCAGAAGCAACCGTTCTGGTTACTGGATAAAAAATTGTTCAGTGTTTTTAATTATTCAAGCAAGAGTAAGTGATGCGTTTTATTTTGGGTTTCTTAGGCTACTTTTTATTTGAGTATGGGCAATATGCCCATAGCTATGTGCTTAATGTACGTCAAAAAAAAGATACTTTCCTTCATTTGAAGATAGCTTGATTTGGTGGAGAAAGAGCTGTGTACTATGTAACTTCTACTGTGTGCTTTTTGCGCTTTTACCTTGTTTCACAGAAGCCTAATTCCAGCTCCCATTGAAGTTTCTGGGATGTGAATTTTAACATCATCCTGTTGTTTGGTCACTATGTTAAAAATGGAAAGGGGATAGGGCTATATCCAATTGTAAATGCATTTAGTTTCTTTGTAAGAAATCTTAAAGATTGTACTTATGTTGGTGTCTGGTATACGTAGATAAACAATCACAGCAGAATTGCAAATGTAGAAGCAATGAAGTCAAGTTAGTACAAAGTTTATTATTCAAGTTCCTTCTTGAACAAATGTGCTGTCAGTGTTTAAATGAATAAAGATTTAAAATAAATAGAGGTGCAAACGGTAAGTTTAAATATCATAGTGTTGTACTTTCACCTTGTCCAAAACAATTGTAAAAGTTCCCAGCTTTAGGAATTGTGGGGACAAGGGAAAGTAAAAACAGTGAAAATAATTGCCCGTGTTCTGAATACCAGTCTTGTTTTCAGTGGTGTTTGTAGTATTTTTCCTAGATGGGAGCTGCAGGTGCAAGGAAATGACTTCAGATGTGAAACATTAATCAGTTTGCCTTTTTCCTCCATTTTGATTGTGTGCTCAGTATGTTTTTAATAGTAGTTTTTGTTTATTTTAGTTGAGTTAGCAACAGACGAGTACAGCAAGTCTGGAATCTTTGAGAAGCATTTAAAAAAATCTTCCATTTTTTTTTTTCTGTGAGAGAATTCAATTAGTAACTGCTTTGAATGAACTTTTTAAGTAATGAATGGAGTGTTACTGACTGTAAATAAATAGAAAGGAGTGCAAGTTGCTGATATTCCTAACACAATTAAAGCTGTTGTTCAGTTTGATATTGAAATAAGAACACCTTGGGAATTCAATTGTTTGCAGACTTTAATTTTCATGTAGTTCTGTCTGCTATAATAATAACCCAAGGTCTGTAGTGTTCATCCATCTGGTAGAGTTATAATTTGCTACAATGAAATGCCAGTTAAGGAGGCAGCGCTTTAAAAAAATAATAATTTATGCTATTCTTAAAAGTTTTAAAGCCAGATGTATGGATCCAAGCCCAGTGTATATGTACCTATATCAACATGTTCCTGCACACCAATTTGCATAAGCATATACCATTATCATCATTCTATAAAATTGGTATCTGCACACACAAATTGCCATTCAACTATCTATTAGCTTGTAGAACTCTTCTAACCAGAATTGGAAGTCTAAGCATGCAGTATGCATGTATTTTGATGTTTCAGTCACTAGAACTTTTTCCTTAGAGAAGAGTTGAACTAAAAATTTGTCTGTGCACTTTGGCCCCGGCTGTTCCATGGTTACTGACCTGTGAGCTTGAGCAAACAACTGTTGACAACAGGGGGGTATGTTGTGGACTCTGGTGCTTGCCCATCCACAGCAGCCTCTAGGACAGGGGTCTTTGCTTTCTACAGTCTCATGTGCTTGGAAAACAGAAATAGATGGGTCAGTTTTACTCAGATAGAGTTAATTTCCAGTTCCAATTCTTGCATAAATGAACATATTCCTACTTTTTTCTTAGCTGTTGCACCATGCAGCCTTCATTCACTTTCCTTATATGTATGCATTACGAGACAATCTTTAATAACTACATGATCACTGTCCTTTTATTTTTTTTTTTCCCAAAGCCCTTTGCCTTATTTATGTAGAATAGGTGTTGCTCTCACATGAAGCAGCTGCTTGGTATTTTCTTCCCTGTTCATTGTTCATAGGCACTTTATTTACCATGCCATATGCTTTTCTTTCTGTTCAACTTTTCAAGTGCTAACAAGTGTAAGGCAATAAAAAAGACTGCTTCACTAGGTCAGGCAATTTAACCTGAGATTAACTGTGTTTAAAATGCTTACGTATGTGACAATTGATTAATGTATGGATCAGTTAATTAGACTGCACATTTTGACAACCCATTGTGTTCGTATATAAAAATCTGACTAACTTTAGGCCATGTCTCTATTTCAATACAAGTATCTTGAAAGAAGCAACGTATGAAATATTGTGCTTGAAGTATAAGTAAGACTAGGTTAGTAAAAGTCATTAACATGGTATAAGGCAAGATTTTTTTTTGTGAAAAAACTTCCTATTTCTTTTTTCTGATATACTCTTTTCATAATTATATAAGATAAAATGTGTATTTTAAAGGACAGAGAGATCAGAATGAAGTAGGGCTAGAAATGGAACTGGAAAAGAAGACGGAGAGTAGTGAAGCTAAGGGGAGCCCAGATGTTTTATAATCATGTAAAATACAGATGAGTCATTAAAAAGTCAGTTAATGTATCACACATTTTAATGTCCAACGGTATAGTTATATTAAAAAAAAAAGGAGTATCTTTTGGCATCATTTATCTCAAGTACAAAGATCTTAAAAGAAGCAGTAAGTTTTACACATATAATTGTCTTCTATCGGGGAAGTGACCCATATATCTGAAAATGTCTTGGATCTTTCTGATAGAGTACACAAATCCTTCC